CAGCTACATCCAAATGCATGAAGTCTAAATTATCTTCAGAAATAAAATTTGCTTCAACATTTTTCTCTGTCTTTTTTCAGGGAGGCTTGATACAACTCAACCAGGTGCTTTGGCGTACGACATGTACGTGACCAGTGCCCTTTTCCTCCACATCTATAGCATGTATTTTCTGGCTTTGCTTCTTGCACCGCTTCATGCTTTTGTTCCTTCCTTTTCCACTGCTGGTGGTGAGAAAGGTTCTTTGGTGCATTGTTATTACCACGATTAGAGTTTCCTCCCCGACCACGGCCATGACCACGACTGGGGCCACGTCCTCTTTCACGCTTAGCTTGGTGGAAGTTCGTCTCATTCACTTCAGGGAATGGACAAGAACCAGTACGTCGACTTTTATGATTTTTCATTAATAGCCCATTATGTTGCTCAACTACAAGAAGATGTGAGATAAGTTTAGAATACTTTTTAAATCCTATCTCTCGATATTGTTGCTGCAGGAGCATATTCGAGGCATGAAAAGTGGTGAAATTTTTCTCCAACATATCATGATGCGTAATATTATCACCACATAGTTTCAATTGAGAACTAATTCTGAACATAGCAGAATTATACTCACTGATAGATTTAAAATCTTGTAACCTTAGATGAGTCCAATCATAACGTGCCTGTGGAAGAACGACCATCTTCAGGTGGTCATATCTATCTTTCAAATTATTCCACAGTATGATTGGATCTTTAACAGTAAGATATTCCATTTTCAGGCCCACATCAAGGTGATGGCGTAGGAATATCATTGCTTTGGCACGGTCTTGGTTTGATGCCTGATTTTTATCTTTGATAGTGTCTGCCAGACCCATCGCATCAAGATGAATTTCGGCATCAAGCACCCAAGACATGTAGCTTTTGCCCGATATATCGAGGGCTACAAAATCAAGTTTAGAGAGATTTGACATTATTTAGAAAAATAAAATTCGTACCTCTGATACTTTCAAAGTATTTTCTCGAGATGGCAGAGTCTCGTGCTGATAACGTGTTATAAAATAAAAATTGTAAAGTAAAGACAAGTATAGAGAGAAACTGATATATTATTCAAACTTCAAACTTATGTACATAATGAACTGAAAACTCCTCTATTTATAGAAGAAATGAAGCAGCTGCGAGGCTTTTCAGGAAGCAGCTGCAAGGCTTTTCTTTAGCTGCTTGTAAGCTGTCTGCATGAGCTGCTTGTAACGTGCCTGTTTAATAAGAAACTTATGCAAATCATTTCACCTGCCTGCATCAGTTGCTTGTAGATAAATTTCAACAAAGTACTAAATGAATAATTTTTTTTTAGAAAGATTATCTATAGCGGAGTAATAAATAAACATCCACAATATAATTATTTTTATAATAACAAGTACTAGGAGTACTATTTATTTAAAATCGCTACTATGATCTGAAATTTGTTCGAAAAATGTGAGAAAACATAAAATAGGAATATGCCTTGTACCATATCTTATTCCTGTAGTACCTTCGGAAACTTAAAAGCCGACGTGGCATTATGCTCGTAGTCACGCCTCCCTATGTTAATGAAACAACACCTCACGTCTTAAAGTGTTAAAGACTCAAACTATGCAAACTCCGCTCCTCAAACCACTCATCGCGCGTGGCTTCACTAGAGTGACGAACAAAACGCAGATCTATAATTTATGAAGAAATTAACAAGTTTTAACTGAAATTAAAAGAAATTACAAATTAATGAGAAAAAAGTAAACATTTAAACTAGAAAAATATATATGTTGATTTTAAAATGATACGATATATACACACTAAAATTTAAATAAATATTAAATTTCGAACTCATTATTTCATAAATGGGTTAGATAGTAGGAATTTGAATGGCGTCTGAATTTGTGAGATAAGGTCTTCGGATTGATTGCTTTTGATTTTGAAAGGAAAATAAGGTGAAAAAATGTAAATTCTACATTCACATATTCTTAAAATCGAAGTTAGCACTAACGGGAGCGTCAGTACAAATTGTTGAACCCGCGAGTAAGAGCGCCACCTGAGCTTTTCTCTTTTCTCTTGCATTCGAGACGAGAAAAAGAGAAGAGAAGAGAAGAGAAAAAGAGTAGCGTAGAAATGACTCCACGAATCCCTTATATTCGCTCTTTCTCTCTCATTTGCCCTTTTTTTCGCTTCCCCTCATTTTATTTTCTCTCTCATCCAATCCAAAAACCCCATAAACTTTTTTTATATTTATTTTCATTTTGTACACAAATGCCCGCGCTCTAATTTAATTCCCTCTCAGATCTCTCCTTTTTTACCAGAAAAACCCTAGCTCTCTCTTTTTATCTCCCCTCTTATTTTTACCAATTCATACTTCATATTTAATCAATTGATTTTTTCCGGTAAGAATCCTTCAATTTTAATTTTTTTTTTTTGTGGGATATTGTGGATAATGGGACAATTGAAGGATTTGATAATTCGATTAAATTAATGGTGAATCTGAGATTGATGAGGGGGGTTATAAAAGGTCAAGGTGTCATGTGCTTGGCTTTGTTTTTATTGTTTTATTTAAATGAATTTTCGCTGTAATGAGTTTTTGAATTATTGGAGTATTAATTAATTCGTTTTATTAACTGTCTTCTCGCGTGATTTTGCACGTTGTTTCGTGTATTGGGTGCATTTTCTGAACCTCCCCTTTTGCGTCTGTAGTAGATAATACGTGGAAGTTGAATTCTTTGGGGAGTATATATATAGCTAGCGTGTACCTTTTTTTTGTTGCTTACAATTATCATTTTTTGGATCCAGATTCGCTCCAAACTCAAGGTGGGTGTGAGTCTTTTATTTTTCTTTTCTGATCAATTTAGCTTGACTGTCTGAATTACAATTGACTAAGGCAATTCTGTCTAAGAAATTGCAAAAAATGATTTTTATGTTAGTGCGCAGTCGCTTTAAATGACTTGTTATTGTGGTATGTCAATGTGATCAAGTGTTTGGATTGCTATGGTCTTGATAGTCTCTGAATTCCCCAATTTTGTGATAGTCGNGATTTAGTGAATTGCAGTAATAGGTTGAATGTTTAGGCGTCTTTTATTTAACTTTTTAAATTGCTGATCAGACTTTTTATTTTAGATTTTGTAATGCAGATTTTTGTTGTTGTTGTTGTTGTTTCACGTGCACACACATACTCACACTTATATTTTCACATATTTTCATTCTTCAAGGAAGTTGACTAGTGAGTTCCTTCCTTGAATCATTGATGCCTTGGCTTTTCCTTCTTTTGGGTGATAGTGTACCTTGAATCCATTCCTTCAGTAGAATATAAGGTCAACGATGTCTAGTATCAGAATTGTGATTTAGCCGCTAGCACCTGATACTTTTCAGGCAACTTCAGAGATCTCATTTAATTATCTTTCTGTGCATGTCGAGACAGGAGTCTGTAGTTGTCTTCTTGATGGGAATGTAAGTTCTTGCACTTCTGTCTTTTGTGGTCTTTGATCTTTTTGGAATCAAGCTGTATATTTCCTTGGTTTTCTCAATAAGTAGAGGGCGCTTTTTGCCGTCTCTTACAGCGAATATATGGATGATGTTACCCGATTTTTTCGGAGCTGGCCTTTTATTCCTAGCTGATTTGTTTTCAAATCCCTCTCTCTACTTTTTTGAGGGGATTCCAAGCTGATTTGTCTTCTGTGATCTTATCCAACTAAATGCATTTGCTATTTCTATTGTTTGAAGTATAGCTTTTTGTTTGCTGTTTGAGATGTTATTGTGTTATTGTCATTTTTTATCTATTCAACTGAATTGTCTATTTTTGTTTTGAGAGTGTTATTATTATTATTATTATTATTATTATTATTATTATTATTATTATTATTATTATTATTATTATTATTATTATTATTATTATTATTATTTTTATTATTTTTATTTAAAATTCATATTGTGGGTCTAGGTTATTGCTTTATATGAATACTTGTGTATTTTAACTTAACAACATATTACGGGCAATTACCCAGTCAAAGTGGACTCAGAATTCCAAAAGATAAACGTAATTTGCTTTTTGACCAGATTTGATTTACAAAAGTTTTGGTTTGATTTATCAAATTATTGTGTAAAATTTGACTATCCTCTGAATATTCAGCTTGGAGCAGGGCAGAATTGATACAAGGGATTCATATAGTTGACCCCATCTAGTTTGAGATTGAGGGAATTCGTTGGCTGATCTGATGTTTATTAATTATCACATGGATGCACTATTTCTCTATTTGCATGTCACTCTGTATTTAATGATGGCTCTATGTTACTCGGTATAATCTCTGTTCCTCTTGTTAAAGGTCTGCCCTATTGTTCTTTCCTCGATTGAGCTTCATGCTTCCATTTCGCATACATAGATAGACCAGAAAAACAAGCAAACACATGGCTCTTCTAAGTTTTGTGTTCGATCTGTTTTCCCTGTTCTTAGCAACCTATGCCCTATGGATAGCTAGAGCACTTACTCAAGGTCACTGAAATTTATGATTTGTTGAAACCTGCCATGTAGTGAAATTCTTGCTCTAGATCTCTGTTCTTTTGTCATGTGTTGAACCATAAAATAGGAAGGAGATATTATTTAAACAAGATATGGTAAAAAAGTTAGGAAGCATACTTTACTTGAACACTCATATAATATTCTCAGGATATGACTATGCTCTTTTTTAATGTAGTGCTATCTTGCTAAATATTGAAGTTCTGTTCCTGCAGATTTGTCTAGGAAAAATGGCTAAAGGGACCACAGGACGACGTAGGATTGGTTCTCGACGATGCAGGGCCACACCATACCCTTTGCCATCTGCTGATCATTGTGAACATGTGCACCAAAAGAAATGTTCTAAAATCTTTGAGAAGAAAGACTGGGAAGATGCAACTTGTTCCGTATGCATGGAATATCCCCATAATGCTGTGCTGCTCCTGTGTTCCTCTCATGACAAAGGTTGCCGCCCCTACATGTGCGGAACTAGCTTACGCTATTCAAACTGCCTCGATCAGTACAAGAAAGCCTACACCAAAGAAACACTGCCAGATGACAATCAATCTATGCAGGGTCTTACTGATACTCCAACTGCGGGCCTGTTTTCTACTTTGCCTTCTGAGAAAAGCGAGGTCATCGAAGTTGCATGCCCGCTATGTAGAGGGCAAGTGAAAGGATGGACTGTGGTTGAACCTGCAAGAGAATATCTGAATATGAAGACACGTAGCTGCATGCAGGATGATTGTTCATTTGTTGGAAGCTACAAGGAGATGCGAAAACATGTTAAGGCAGAGCACCCCTCTGCCAGGCCACGTGAGGTAGATCCTCTTCTTGAACAAAAATGGAGAAGGCTTGAGCGGGAACGAGAGAGGGATGATGTTATCAGCACTATAACTTCTTCAATGCCAGGGGCTGTGGTTTTTGGTGATTACGTGATAGAAGGAAGTCATTATGGTTTTGATTCGGAGGATGAAGAGGGTTTTGATGTGAATGCGATGAATGGGAATGAAGGTTTTGGAATGGGAATCGATCGCAATTTGATGAATATGTTTCTGTTTTTGCAGGCTTTTGGTTCTGCAGGGAATATAGCGTCAAATCGGGTTATGAGGCGGCATGACCGAGACATAAGTGACACTTTGGATAGAGGTGCTGGTGGAATTGAGCGAAACCTCCGAAGCGGTGGTTTTGAGTACTCTGATGCAGACAGTGACAATAGCGGGGATGATAACGATGATAGTGGCATATCGCTAGTTGGGCGTCTTCGTCGTGAAGGTAGGGTCCTTTTGGGGCGCTCTGGGAGGAGACGACGACGTAGAGAGGCCAATGCAGGTCGGAGATAGAATTTGTGTATGTTTCAAAATTGTGAAAAAGAAATAATTTAGGGCTTAGTTTAGGATTTAACTGTGCTCTAACATTCTCGTGCACATCTGCCTCTGATTGATGTTTGATACATTGTAGATTGTAGGATGGCTCAGAATTATTGGCGGGCACTTAAAGAAAGATAAGTTTCTCTGTAATTTGTAGTCTGTAATTTCCTTATTCTGTCTGAACATTTATATGTCAATTCTTGTATGAATGCAATTTCTGATGTACATTTTAATTTTGTTGTTCACCTTTTACTACTTCAACTTGTATGTACGTAATTCATTATCTATCCGTCCAGTGAAGTTGATTCATCCTTAGGGATTGGTGATTGTAATGTATGCTAAGGAAAGACCTTATAGCTCTTCAGCATTTATTAAATTGACATGCAAGGCTGATTAATTTCATAAAATATTGTAAAACAAAATAGAGAACTGTATTGAGATTGTCGAATGTGGTTCCACATAACATATTTTAGGGCCGTCTGGCCATAAAAAAAGATTCTTTTTTTCTTTTTTTTGAAATCAGCGTGGCCATGAAACTTTCTATTTTCATTTAAGGATGAATTTTAAAAATTTCACTTCATATCACTCATAAAAATTCAAAAACAACTCAAAATTATATTCATGTCAAACACAACTCTAATTTTCAAATACCATTTCACCTAAAAAAAAATTATTTTATTTTTTTCCAAAATTTTATAATTCTTATATCCAAACGCGCACTTAGAAAGTGTATCAAAAACTTATATTTTATCAGGAAGTTGGAGATTAATGACATTAAAATTAAATAATACATTTGTACAACTTAGTAACGTAAAAGCTCATCACGGCAGTCTGAATCATTAAGTTACAAGAGGCAAATTCGATGCCCCGCACTGATTTGACTTGTTCAAGCATTGTTGTGTGGATCCCCACAAAAAATTTCTATGCACGTACATCTTCTCATACTATTTGAAAGATTTCTCAGTGAAATTGATACTCTTGATACTGCAAATATTTTTATCTTTGGTTAGCTCAACAAGAGACCACAATATTTAAAATGACGGAGATTCTTGACAGCACGGGCAATAAAGAATGGGATTTTGACATTATCATATACCAAAGTGATAATACTACAAATCCTTTTTGCTGATTATTCCAGTGGGGACACCATAACAAACTGGAGCTGCTCCAATCAAAAAAGGGAGAGTGCATGCATCTCTAGCTTGCCCCATGAATGATCCAATCTTTGGTCTGTGTTTACAGTGGTTAGTAGATGTATTGTTTTTACACATATCAGGTGCTATATCTTTCTCCTTTTTTATCCTTTGAGTTCTTTTGCAGTAACTAATTTTCATTGACTCGAGTTTATGTGAAAGAGTATCACATTTATCACATCTAAAAGAAACATTTGATCTTTCTCTCAGGATAGCATCAAGCATGCTCTTTCCAAATCTGTCAATATCCTTGTCTGTCACTTCCCATAAATTAGCAATTATAACCGGAGAACCTGCTAATAGATAGCCCAGGGCAGCACCCCGAGGAGCATAGCATCCATGCAGATGCAATGACCCACTACTGCACCCCATAAGCAGGGTAGCAGCGCAACTCTCTAGTTTCTTTACCTCATGCTCGGGGATATATTGTGCTCCTGAAATGCCAGCATAGCAACATATTATTACTGATAGGGCATATAGGCAATAATAAGTAAAACTTAATCAACCCTGATAATGTTGAGAATCAGTTCCAAGATTTTGTGCGTACCACTTCCATGGCCAAAGTAAATAAAAAGATCATGACTCTTCAAGGCCTCAGCCAATTCTTCTACTGCTGGTGCAGTTCCACACTTCCCCTGCAAAACGAAGTAAAATAATATAATTATTTGTAGACCGATTATATTCGCAGAGCATAAAAGAAGGTTGCAGTAAGTTGAAAACATGTAAATAGTTTTAACTACAATGAATACTTTTTAAATGGACCTTAATATATACAAAGGAAGCATACAACAGACCCAACTAATATGGGGACTTAGTTGACAATTGACTCACAAGATTATTTATCCTAATTTTTACTTATAATCAGATAGTCGATATCACTATTTCTTAGTGGAAACAGTCTAAAATGATAGAACCACTATAGTTCCCACAGTAAACAAAACAACATAAAATACAATCTATATATATATTGGCAAACTATGGTTAATCAGGATAGTTCAAGTCAATAATCATTTTAAAACAGTATTGATACTCTAATATCAAGCCTTTAGTTCAAGCTAAACATTAAAGATTTGTATTTCTATGATCCTCAGTTCTTTTCCTGTTTATTGGGTCAAGACTCTAATTTGAGTGAGACATATGAGAAATTCTTTTGTATAGGTAAAAAAAAATCTTTCTGCTAATTTTCCTCCCATTTAAGGAAAACACCTATATCTCATTTTTCAGTTGAAACTCATTAAAAATAATAAGGTCCTTCTAGCATTCATAAAGGAAGATACTTAATGAACGTAACTTTTGTAGGGTATAGATATCGATGAACTTTTTAAGTACATGCACATGCCGAATTGGTGAAATGCGATGCTTAAGGTTTCTTTTTACTGTTCTAATTTCCAGGGTAAAGTAGAAAAGTACCTCAAAATCCTGATCTCTGAACCAGCTTTCAAATTCTATCTGCGTGCTGCTAAGATCTCCACTTGGATTCAAAAGATAATAGGAATCCAGTGGATCAATCAAAGGAATGGAATGTGATGGAACCCCTTGTTCCATAGGAGATCCTTGGTAGCACTTTAGCAACTGAACTTGTTGTTGATATGGGCAACACTTGATCAGGGTTGCTCTGATGCTGCTAATTGAGGGCATGCGATAAACCTGCTGGTTTCTTAATACTGGTAGGTTCTCCCAAGGAAGCATCTGCAGAAAGTGATCATTATTCTCCTAGCCAAAACACCTTCTGTTTAAAAAAGGTTACTGGACTCTTGCCAATTAGCAAGGAAATTTTTCCTACTTGGGTTTAGCAACACAACTGCATAAACTTAGGTAAGAACCAGATAACTAAAGCTTTTTAAGGTTAAAAATGCACAATGTTTCAGGCTACATGAAACAACAAATAGCAATATATAACAAATCTATCATTTCCAGAGAGTTGCAAGTTCTTGAAACACAGAAGGACTTTATATTTCCTTTCTGCAAAGCTTTTGGCTAGCATGAGAAACTTAAAATATAATGAAGCACAAAGTTGAATCAAGACATAAGGAAGAAGAGAAGAAAACACACCTGCACCTCAAGATCCAAAACAAGAATAACTGGTCTTCTACTTATGGATTCAGTCTCTACCATCTCTTGGGCTTCATCAAGTATAGACTTGTATACTGAATCACAGAGATTATCAACTTCGGTAGATGTCTTACCGAACACTTTGGAGTTTCCATTACCCCCTCCATGCAGGTGACATCCTTTATTTAAAACCATCTGAGAAATGTGATTTTCTTTCTCATAAGCGTACTTCGCAGCTCCGAGAATTACTTTAAGAAGACTTTTATGAACATCAGCTCCAGTTTTACATCTAAAATGATCATAAAGTTTCTTCACTAGTGAATCCAGGAGCTCACATTCTGACAATTCACCCAAAAGCAGGTATCTCCAAGGACCTAACCATGAATCCTCTAGATTCCTGAGGCATATAAAGTTAAACATACAATACTTTGAGTGCTTATTTGAAAGTGAATTGGCATTATGATAGGAATGATAGGCATAACATTCAGTGACTTCTCTCTTAACTTTCAGATGGAAAGGTGAAGGCATCAACAATTATACAAAATCATCATCATAACACCAACCTTTCAACTGAACTTTAGCAAACAGCCAAAATTCCAAGCAATTCAGTATTGAAAGATCTGATCCAAATTCAGAGAGACAAGCTTTTTCATGGAACATTAAATGAGATGAAAAATCATTTGACTAACCGTAAAAATTTAGCAAGGCGCTGATCAAGTTGTTTCCTCCACTTCCACCATGATGATCTGCTCTCTGTAGTATCTTCTAACAGGTGCATAGAAGAGGACAAGTAATTGTTCTCTAATATATCTCTAAAGACGGGTGCCACATCATCAACCACGCTGGATAACCAAGGGCAATGCCAGTGCTTATCTTTGACTTCAAACGGAAAACTGGAAGTGAATTGGGCAACATCATCTGAAGCTTCTGATGGCATGAAGGAAGAATAAGCCAAGGAAATCTTTCATGAATTTACTGTTTCGTTTAGAATAAAGGACTGTATTACCTTTTACAATAGAATGTGCGGGCAAAATTACAGTGATAGGCTGACTAGGTGAGCTCATGCGGGATAACAGAACCCATGATTGAATGGGGTGCGGAGAATGCAACAATTCAGTCAACAAACTGGAAACAGAGCGTCCAAGCAAGCTAAGACAGACAACTGTACTAGCAGGCAGGCTCTCAAAAAATCTCGAAACAAAATCTTCAAGATCTTCAACTGATTCAGGTGCAAGCCTGCATTAAAAGAGGGTGCAGATGGAACAGAAGTGAGCACATCTTCTAAGCAAAGCTCCCCGATTCATGCTCAGACAAAGAAATACCTGAACATGTTAGGTTCTTCTGAACCTAGATGCTGTTGTGTCAAAGAACAGGAACCCTGAAAACAGAAAATCCAAAAATATAAGTGTACCCAGCATGGTGCAAAAAAATATATAATATAAGCTTATGTGCAGGAAAAAAGTTAGATTTGGTAGTAGGTCTTTTTTTTAGGCATTAGCGTAGATTTTGTAGAAGCTTCGCAGGCTGTGGCTTTACCTTAGCAGTCATTCAAAGTACAAACAGAATGCTAAGGTATATGTTTAGGGATCCAAGGTAGTTCTTTGGAGTCATAATCGTTAGATTTACTCTGGAACACTGCTGCTCAACATTTTCCTTGGAACAAAATCGGCTTCCTCAATTGGCTTTTCTTTCCAATTAATCTCACTTTCTATCTGATTTATCAGAAATGTCTGTCTGCTATCTTCAAAGAAGAGTTTATATTTTAAGGCCTTCTAGAGGATCTATCCGATGAAGCCAACCCTTACACATTTATTTTGTTTCACGGGAAGAAGGGTAAAGAAGAGAAATGTTCAACAATTTTAAGGCCTTCCGTTGGATCGAGTACTCCTTATCTGACATGATCACAAAGGGGTAGAAAATATACACTGGACTTCACATCCAATTTAGGAGGGTAAGAAAAAGCTGTTCAACCTCTTGTACTTCCCTTT